AAGATGCTCACTTTTCATTTCCAGGCAAGTAATTGCATGACCATGCGCTGCAGAAGGCCCGCCAACTTCTGTGTTTGTTTAATTTCCAAGTCAAAGAAAAGCTTTTTAAATATATCTCTTTAGAGTACTCAGCAGCTACGTTAAGAGGCATTTGTCGGAACGACACGTGGAATCAAACCTACACCTTTACCTTGGCTGAAGTATCAAAGAGTGTCATGAATTGGGAATAACATTGCGATACGTCATGACGAGCACAGGCAAAAGTCTAGCAAAGCTTAAAGAGTGCAAGAGTGCGCTCAACGCTTTGTAAAATAAGTGGTAACTACTAACCGTAATAAGTTCAACAACGTCTTTGATTGAGGCAGGAGCGTTTGAAATTTCGTTGAAGAAACTGGCCGTGTTGGTTGTGGAGAGCAAAGCCTCCTCCTAAAAAAGTAGAATGGATCACCTTGTTAAGTTTATCAATGCGTAAGGCACTTTCTGATTGCACCAGGAATAGAGCGATGGTTAATTTGTGCTGCATTTTAAATATCAGGACCATAAACTCAGTAATTTTTTACTTATGTCAAATAATTACCCTTGGAGGAAGAACAATTGGGGCTGCACTACTCACATGATAGTCATTAGCTACGATTCTGTGTAGGCGAGGGTGAGAAACAATTACTAGAGCGGATTGACCATTTCCTACTCGAACAGTCGCCTGCATTTCCGTCCTAAAAACTGACCTTAATTTTGAAAATGGCCAGTGCGATTCGAAAGAGCACAGTAGATCCCTCGTAGAAGAGGAGATCCCACACGCGCAGCATGATTTGCATGGGTAAAACACCAGAGAAGAGTGTCAAAAACCATCCAAGCGTTATCAAGGGCAAATCTAAATCAAGAAAAGGTGTACTGAACATCTTAGCACGCAAAGATGCATAAAGCAGAGGGAAAGCCTTTCCTGGATGTGCATTAGATACAACAGTAGAGAAGTGAGAATACGTGAAGCAAACAAGTGCCTCAATAAAAGTAGATTAGGTTAATCCATAGTTGTTGCGCTAATACAGTCGTCGAATGCTTAAGTTTTCTCTCACAGCATACAAAGGTGAATAGATAAGCTAGGAAAGCTCTAGCTAAGCTTGAGTAGTTGGACAGCCTCAGGTAGTCCTATCGAGAAGTGGACACGTAATGAGGGGAGAACAGCTATCGTAAAAGCCGGCTAAGGTGGCTAAATGATTCCATCCGCAATGGTTATAAAGTAGAGGAAACATTTATTTCAGTGGCCGTTTGAACTGTGAGCAATCCAAAGGCTCTAATTAAGCATACCAACGTCGTGTTGTTGAAGAATGGCGTTGACGTGAGGGAGAAACACGGAGATGAGTTGACAGAGGACACGCTGGTCCGCCTGCACACCCAAAAGGCTGTCAGCGGAGAAGTAGGAGGAGGGCAGAACTTCATCAATGATTGAACACATCATCCAAAAGGCAGTTTCTTCCTCCAACAGCAGCAACAAGTTGGCCGCTATCTGCAATGCACATTCAGTACCTCTTATTATTACTTGATGGCTGGTGGTTTCCGGAAGCCGAGCATTTAAGACTTAAGCGTTTTAAGTTTAATTCTGATTCATTTTCCACACAACGCCCAGTGATTGAATTGAATAACCAGGTGAAATTGTTGAGGCGTTTCGACTAGGTCTGGTGGTCAGCCTCTTGGAAGCGTGCTGCCAATCCAATTTGCTGAGTTGAAAAGTAGGTCCATAGAGGGTCTACCATGCTTTTGCACTTACACTGTACGCGTCTCAAAGGGTGCTGTAAAGCGTTGGTTTTAACTTCTGCTTGCAG